AATTAGGAATATGTATATAAATGCCGGATCCGTTGGAGCCGAACCACCTATCCCCACAGAAACCAAAGGAAGAAGCACTTACTCCCCTCTGGTGAGCGAAATGCAAAACGTCGATGACATCACGGGAAAATTTAATGAACACACAAAACAAAAGAAAAATGTCGGCACTGAAATTTGCATATCGTCGACGAAAAGTCGATAGTTTTTTTTTTTTTACTGGTTAAAAAAAATTTAATAATAACAACGATATAAGATTGTAATCGCTCGTATGATATTATCGATTGTACGGTTTGCTATTGAACTCGATACGGTGGAATCGGATAATGACACTGCCCTGTATTTTCGTGTCGCATACATCATCGCCGACCCAGACGTTTTTCTCATTTATATATATATATATATATGTATAAATTTCCCGGATAACCGCGAAATTTTCGCCATTACCGTTTTTAATTTGAACGTTCTCTCGTTTATTATGATTTCACCTTCGGACGTCATCGATTAAATTAATAAATAATGTCGACATGTTGGCCTATTTTCGAATACTGTTTATGTATTTATTACTATTCGGTTAAAAATTAGATTTTCTTCTGTGGTTCGAGAGAAATACTCTTGGCATCAATTCTAATAGTCCGGAACTTCACAAATTTGGATCCCGAACCACATAATTATCCCACTGATGGTCGAGTGGATAAAATCGCTAAACACTGAAGATTTGTGCGAGATTTCTTTCTTTTCTAATACCCAAATATCGCTATTTCCTATAAGTTCGGTGCTACAAAGTAAGATTAATTTCCCGAAACACAATTTAAGCTATGTAACACCGCACTGAAATGACCAATAAAAGTAACAGTTCGTGCGGTCATAATAAAAAATTACAATACGGTAGTCTGTACTGTAATTTTATATTATGACTGTATAATTTTCTATTAAAATACTACTGAAATGTACTTCCAATATTCCTATAAGTATAGTAAGTAATGTACATTTCAGTAGTAAATACGATAGATCCTGGACCAATAGTTCTAAATAACGATTTACTGTACTTCATAAAAGTTCTTCCTCGATGCGTAAATATATTTTTAAAACAATTATAAAATAAATAAGTTGAAATGCGTAAACAAATTTGCCATGCTTATTCATTGAATGCATTACTAATCACATTTTACTCTTTACTTATGAATACTTCGGCCATTTCTACCCTCGCCTTAACTCGTTCATTTTTTCCAAAATGGCGATAAACAATGAACGACTTGAATAGCTCATCCGCAATTTAACCCTATATTTTAATAACAAAGAAACGTACAATTTTAAAAAATTTTGAAATAGTATTATGAGTCACTCGACTCGTTTTTGACTAATGTTGATGAATCAGCATTTTGGCCTGTTGATCCATACACGACAATGGTTAAATTTGACTATTTCATCCACACAAAACCTCTCCAAATTATGCCCCGGATAGAGAAGAGGAAGGCAGCTTTAATAGATACTCGCTGGTTTAACCAAAAAAGATTGCAAGGAGGTACCCAACTTGGAGGTTTCGCACGTGTTAGTGATTTATAATCACCAGAACATGGTTATTTTAATAATTTTCGGTTTTAAAAAGAAAAAGAGGAATTTTTATTCTGTAAGACAAATTCTCCTGAAAAGAAACAAAGAGTTTAAATTAAGCATTTACGCAAGCGGTTCTTGCCCTCCGGAGTGCCAACATTGAACTCTTGCCAAGACAAATTCGGTTCTTGGCATCTACTTGCCATCATTTCTCTTGTTTTTTTTTTGATAATCTTCTCAAAATGGATGTCAACAATTGCTCAACAATTAGTTCGATTCGGGAAATTGTTTTATATTATCTTAATTCTTGGCTAAACTGCCCGTTTCCCGTTTCCTATCCCCTACGTTCGCCCCGACCCGGGTCGATAACTTTCTACTTTTTTTTTCTACTTCTCTCTTGATTAATTATATTTAATATTAGAATTTTTATAGATCCGAACCTACAAAATTTCGATTAGAAGCTGTTAAATTCAATTTTTATGTTTAAATTTTTATATTTAAATCATAAATCACGATCAATTCGAGATATGCAATCGTAAAAATCGAATTAAATAAGAGTCAAAGTATATAAAAATTTTTATAATATTCTACAGCCAAATAGAAAGTTTAATTTACAGAATTTTATTAAAATAATATTAAAGTTTTTATTTAAAAAAAATGGCGCGGTTATTTTTATTTTACCCACTGTACTCGATTTTAATTATATTTTTATCCAGCAGATGGCGATAAGTAATTTTAATTAAGCAAGATGGCCGATTTACAAGGCTATTCGCCCGATATTATAATAAATTAAATATTTAAAAATATATATAAAAATTCCCCCCAAAAAAATGCATTGAAAATAATTATAAGCGCCTATAAATTACATAAAAGTAAATATATATATATATTCGCTACGAGCTTAGTTCAGCAGTTGTTTTTGTTTACTTTTACGGCGGGTGGCGAAACACTACGTCACAATTACGTTTATTTTATACCCCCAGTTAGATTATAAACATAAAAATCATTTTTTATTTGCCGAAGGAACGTTGTAGCCCTTATACAGGGGGATTTTGGGGAGCGTAGTGCACCCCTTTCTGGGGTTTTTCTTGAATAAATCCGGGTACCTCGCGTAGTAAAACATTTTGTAAGGCATATTGTTTCCTTTCTGCATCCCTCTAGAGATTTATAGATCTGTATATTAAGTTAATATGGTTTATATTTGTAAACTAGAATACAGTACGACGTACAGTACATAATACAAACTGATAAGTGTGACGTTACGTTCGCGTTACTGTAACTATAAGTGACGTCAAAATATGCACTTTTTTTTATTAAGAAGAAAACGAACACGCCCCGTATTAGACGGGCATGTGTTATAACAGTGAACGTAAGTACGTATCTTTATTTTAAAAACCCTTTCGGGGGGAGTAAACACTCGCGAAGATAAAGGGTAACTAAAAGTTTTGCTGCCGGTATTAAAGGGGAAAACACGGAAATAATGCCATTGTAGAAAGGAGGAAAGTAATTTCGCCACCTTCGATCAATGAAAGCGCAAATTATACTCCACACCCAAAGATAAATATCAATCGCTGCGGTTTAAAATAGATGATAGCCTGCACTTAACGCGGTTTACACGAAAGAATGTATTATATTTTTTAAAGTATAATTTAACAGACGCATCTGTTCAGGTATCCCTTAACGTGTGGATAAAATAAATGACAGTTCTGTCCTTTAAATGTTCAAGTATGCCGGTACACGTGTACCCGAATTAATACTTTTAGTTGTAATTGTAAACAATGAATCACCAGAATATCCTTGTACCCATGAATTGTGTCCCTAAGCTATAAGAAATTACAGGCCCTTTCCCTCCACACATATAAAAAAACGCGAGGCCCTAAGCTACAGCTTGTTTATCTTATATGCAAATTCGTTTATGGAGCAATACGCAAAGTACTTGTTTATATCGATTTTAACTTAATGAAATTTATTTTCCAATTATTATCCACGTTGTATCGATTACGGGACACGTGTTTGCTGTGTTAATAATACACAGTCATCGTCTTAATCACTGTACAAACCGAAGATATGTATAGCGATACCGACGATATTTTCAGGATAATTGCTACGAAATTTCTTACAAAAGGTAATAACAATTATCTTTTTTATCTCGATAATATACATAATTTCCTCATTCTTATAATAATCTCGTTATATAAATCACTCGCGGCGGGTAACATTCCCGACATTTAACCTTTCGCCCCCATCCCTTTCATTAACTTGCGCCATTTTTTTTTAAAGGAAGAGCGCAGTTAATCCTTTCTTGATCCTAAAGATAATCCTCAGATAATCCTCAGGATCAACCCGGATTTTCTTTAGATGGACGGTGTGTTAAATGCCAATATATCGACGTGACGAATGGCGTGATTCCAGGTTAGCAGGGCGCCATTTTTATTTCCATCCCCCCTTAATTGCTGTAGAGAAGCGACCAACACCCTCATTGGTCGGAATCGAAACTTAACTTGGCATCGTCACACTTTAAAACCAAATACAGTAAACTCCCCGCCCTTTGACTCGTGGGGTTTAGAAGATGCTAAATAGTGTCTTGCCACGAACTCGCGCCATTTAAAGTTCGACAAGTCGTCACGTTTTCGAAATTAAATTTATTTTCCTTTTATTAAATATTATAATTTTCTTAATGGGGTGACTTTATCATAAACACAGACAAAAAAACGATGATGATGAATTAAAAAAAAAATGTCGCCCTTATTTCTAATGGCGCCATCTGTCGCTCGTTTCATAAATCATTTTTCGTAATGTGTTTATTGTAAAAATATACGAAAAGGGGGAGTGAGGGGAGAAAAGAAAACCGGACGGGCCCTTCTCGGCTTGCTCAGAAGATAAATAAATTTCGAGTGTAACCGACGGGGGAGTAGGGTCCCGGCTCTAGATTCCACCCCGCTCGACCTTTGACTCGTATCTGCTTACGTCCATACCACCGCCGTCACCTTTGACCTCCCTAGTGCTAGGCACGAGCGTTGGAAACACCTGCTTTTCCATCACGCCAAGTTTCTAGTTACAAGCGTATTTTCTTAACGAAAATCGCCACAAGCCAGCGATTGTATCTACACCCCAAGCGAAATTTCTTCTCGTCTCCCCCTCTTAGTTACGCAACACAGAACGTAACAATGGAATTTAGACAAGATCCACTTCTTACTAACTTAATTTTGTCGCCTTTCGTCCTACCAAAAACACGTAAACTTAGCTTAAAGAAAGTCAACACCCCCCTCCTTCACGTGCCTGGTGTGTTTCGTCACAATTTAAAAAACACAAAATAAAAAGCGTAACGAAAGGCTCGTACGTCATTCGTACCTTTAACTTAAGAATAGATATACCTGTAGCGAATATCGTTACGCGCATCCCGCATACCTCTAAGACACACCCCTCTCGTGTAACCGCCTCGACCGAACACTACCACCACCCACTCTCACAAATGGAATCTCCTCGACTGGCATGAGGCGCTCGTGTCAGTTTGCAGAAAGTTTGTATCGGGTTATTCGCCGAAATCACCCGTCTTAGCCGGCGACATGAGAACCTGTCGAGTGTCGTTTCTACAGGATTATTACTTCACCCTCTTTTGAAGACCACTCTACCCGATCCTTAACTCTCCATGAAGTTAACAGGTGAGTTTGGTCTCCCTAAACAGGTTATTTTATTTAAAAAAAAAAAAAACATACCTTTCTAGTGTCACCCCGTGTTATTTAATCCGCGGCACGCGCTAACGATCATAATACCATCCCGTGTTAGGAGGCACCACTCTACAATAATGCCGCTTTCTCTAAGGATGGGGGGGGGGGTGCGCGCGTTCGGAAATTCGAAAGGAATACCTTCTTAATCGCCAACCTGTTAGCGATTGTGTGACGTAGAAGCACGTACTGTACCGAACAGGAAACGTAGCTATAAACACTACCCTCTTGTATCGACACAAATCGGAAATTTCTTACGAAATAATAGAAAATGTCACCTTTATTAACTACATAATAATAGTTTGGTAGTGTTAAACACCGTCGTTAAGTGTTAATTAGTGTTCGATGAGGTGGCATTTTTGGCATTCTTAGAATTTACTGGAGTTAAGATAAAAGCTGAGTGTGTGTGTGTGTGTACGTGTGGGAGCTTCTCCACCCCCTTTGATCTGTTAATGGGATTTAACAATATACTTAATAAGCATATTTCGAGCCGACTATTGCTGATTTTCTTTTCTTTTAATAATCGGTAAGCTGAATGTTTGAAGACGTAGAGGGAAGCGTAAATAATACGCGCCTGTGTTCACTGCTTTGTAAATAACGTGCCCATTGAAGCAAGGTGTACTGAGTACACTCTAACCCGGTTTTTGCCCCGCGGTACGGATGAATTGCGTACAGTTTAATTTAAAGACGAGTCGGAATTACCACCCTCCTCCTCCTTTTCCTCCCTTTTTTTCGCGAGAAACAAACTTTTTACGCGCAAAAAGGGTGTAAATTACAATAGTTTATCGCGCGTTAATTAAATTAAACCATTCTATCGAGTACAGCGTTGTAGACAGACGTTCCTGTATTTCAAAATAAGCGTTTAAAAAGGAGGGTAATAAGCGTTAAAAGGGGGTGAAAACAAACGTTATAAAAGTGTATTACCAGTTCGATACTAAAAAAAAAAAAAAATTACCGGCAAATGTCACTGTTTAAACAAGGAGACATTATCCAATATTAAAGTAAAACACGAGTTTCTATGGTAACCATCAAAACATTTGATATACCATTACTAATTTTAGTACCGAGTTGTGTTATGGTCGAAAGAAAAAGACACGTGGGATATCTGGCTTTTTCGATCTAGACCAATGCCCAATTGAGTTTATAAAGTGGATGCCGATCGAGTCCACGTCACTATTTTTGGTAGACGATCGATCGGATTATCAATCACAATACGCGATTATCATTCGGTTACGTAATTGGCCTAGTGTCACACGACTTAGAAAGGTTGCAGATGTTTTTTTCCTTTGACCATTCCGTAATCGAAGACACGAAATTTGAAGAACGTAACGTCACACACAGAAAAATTTTAAAAATATATATATAAAAATGGCCCAATTTTCTAACTGGGTCTAGGTCCGTACTTTGCAGGTTAAAACACCATTTTCTTCTGTTTTTTTTTTTTTTTTTATTCTTTTGAAATTTAAATATCGCTATGGTAACGGATACAAACACAAGTGTATGTATGTATATATATATATATATACTTTTTTTCTCTATTTTTACAGTAACCGATGACGTAACGGATCAATTTCCTTCGTCATGAAGCACTTCGTAGATGGCATTCTCGTTATATTTACGTGTTTCGTCATTGTCTCCCCCCTGCAAGGTAAGTTTAAAATAATAATATGTACGTCACAGTGTTTGCCCCTCTCTTCCTTCGTATCGATGAGTTACGTCCTGCACGCGTTACTTTTAAATTATTTTAAAAATGCGAAATTCAGGAAACACGTGATTCATTTCCTTGTTCTAAAATGCATTTTTTTTTTTTTTCCCCACCCTTTGCTTCGTATAGGATGTTGCAGTTTCTTGTTACGATTTCTACTGTTTTATGTTACGTTATGTACCTAAAAACATTGTCTTTGACTTGACACGGCGAATATTTCGAATACGTTACGTTCAAAGTCATTCTACGAAGTAACCGAACACCTTCGTAAAGCGACCAAAGTAAGCGCAAAGTCCAGTGTCTAAACTGGAGACGACGATATATTTATAAGTCTATTTGGTCTTCGATAAGCTTAATACACATTTAAGTAAACACGTAATAATTTATGGCATTTAGAACACGGCGGTAACAGTAAATGGCGACGATTGTTTTTTATTTTTTTGGTCGTTAAACCCGAAAAAAGTCCAACAGAACATCCTGTAAGTAATACGAATACAAAGTATTAAATCGTTACAGTGTTTTAATAACAAGGGAAACAAGCTCGAATAGTTACGTCACGTTTTTATTAACACAACAAATCTCCCGCTGATTAATCTACTTCGTTATTCTCTCTCCCCCTTCCCTAAAGTGTTAAATTCTCGAAATTTCTAGTATTATAACGAAGATAACACAAAAATCTTTCACCCCTTATTACCCGACTGATAAGAGGATTGTAAAGACGAAGTAACGAAGCAGAACCGACATCTTATTTGTTTTTTTCTTTATTATTATTTACATTTGTTTCCGCGTGTTAACAATGGACCAAACACCAGATCATTGTTAGGATGAGTATTTATTGTTGTAGCCTACTAAAAAAAAAAAATAAACGACAGCCGAGGGCCCACTAATAGCGGAATGAATAAAACCAGTTAACACTAGTCGCGGGTTGGAATTTGCCGTGTTTTCAACATCTAAATAGGACCTCCTTCCTCCTTCCTTGAGTTGTCTTAAGCTGGCCGAACCCACGATCGGTATATAAAAGGGCCCTCTAAATGCCTACGAAGCGGAAAGGGCCTCATAAAACAATAACAATCGGGCGAATCGTTTATACAAATAATCCATACTGGAATTTACACCGTAAATATCGAAATCCTCGTGTTTAATCATTGTGCAATTGTTTAATGCCCTACTTTTTTAAAGAAAATGCGAGATAAATATTTATTTAACAAAAAAATGAGTGTTAGATTTCATTTTATTTACTAAATGCGGGTTTCACTTGTGTAAACGTTACCCTTTTCGTGGTCAATTGTCTCGATTATCGAATGTATTGTCTTTAAAGCATTGTTGACACGTTTATTCGCTGAAATTATTCAATAAATTGGGTTTAAACTTGTTAAATTTTCGATAAATTGTGTGATGAATCACAATAAATATTAACACTAGATTATACTTTTCTAAGATTTTCCATCCGAAAGTACGTACGGAAACACTACAACGGAACTCCCCTGTAATCCGGTAAGCCATTTAAACTCAATTACGTAATTAATTACTAATTTAACATTACTAAATCCCGATTTAATTACAGGAAAGTGGTGGATGCAACACCACAGAAACCGGAGCTAGTAAGTGTCTTTGTAGTGTTTTTTTTTATTTATTTATTTACTGATATTCGTGTAAATTTTTCTGATTTTTCTTAATTAATAGCAGGCCCCGAAACTACTACGTCTAACGTAACAAATACACCACTTTTTGACGAAAACAATACAACGTTATGCCCCGAAAACGGATGCCAAACTGAATCATCTAGTCTAGAAATTACAACAGAGGCCATAGGTTACGACAATGGTACCGTTGTCACGCATGCCAACGTTAATTCGAGTGAACCTATTGAGGAATCGACGACAGTCGTAGGTGGTAACGTAACCGAAGCTGAAACACAATTACCAGACGTCACTAACTCTACCGAATCTCGAAGTACAGTAACAGAAACCAGCACCCAACCTTTAAGTGAAAGCGATTCGTGGGTTAATGTTACGACGTATCCGGACGATTCGTATAATTCTTCTGTTACTGAGGTTGTATCTACGTCTACAGATACAGTAGAAGCGATTAACTCGTCTTTAATCGTAACAAATGTAACGTCCGAAATAGGAAACTACTCTGAAGTTAACGTAACAACAGAAGACTATTCCGAAACGGCTACAGAAATGTCTAACCATACTGAAGATACTACGAACGTTACTTGGACTGATACGCCACTGTTCGATACAAATACCACGTTGCGTAACGCTTCGACAACGGAATTTCCGTTATTTATAAACAGTACAAACGAGACAACGGAAGCTGTTACTGTAGAAACGTCCGAAACTGTCGACGATTTCGGCAACGTTACGAACGAACCTCATGAAATTTCGAACGTAACGACAGTTTCCGACAGTCCGACAACAGAATCCGTTACGAATTACACAACAGTTTACGATCTACCCACCGTGACTCCTCATAGAAATTATCTGACAGTGGAAATCAGGATCAATTGTTCGAGTAATGAAGAACAGAGAGAGATTTCGTCGTCCCTGGCCGAATTCCTGAACACCAGCCTGAAGGATTCGAACGAGTGTTACGTTACGAGAAACGTCACACTGATAGTTCCCAACGATAAGGTGGAATACTTAAAAATCTCTCAATTCCTGATGGAGAAGTACCACACAATCCGACTAGTCAGAATATGGAGTAACGCTAGGGATTTCAACGGGACCTTAGACACTGTTACGGTGGTCGATGACGTAACCGAAAGAGAAGTGGTCCTGTATGTTTCGTTAGGCGTGTGCCTCGGCATCGTCCTTCTATTTGCTGTGGCCATCACGTGCTTCAAGTGTTTTCGAAAGCGATCGAACAAACCGTTGGATCTGGATGTACCACACCTGAACCTCCGCCTTGAAGACTATACGCTAACTCGCATCCCCCGGCCCAACACTGTCTATTTGGATTACTATCGGGGCCCCATCATTAACGATAGGTACTCTTCCGCCCCCCTCGGTAATTCCGTCAATTCTACCAATTCCGAGAGGGGGTTGATCCAGCCTTTCGATACCAGCGTGGTTCCTCTGGAGGACGCCAAGAAACTGGAAGAGCTGAGCGCTCCCGTCACGCGCAACGAAACCAATTGCCCCTCCACCCCCCTGCGTACTTTCGGTAGAAAAGACTGGAAGAACGGAGACGGTCTTATATACGAGAACATTATGTCGTCGTCCACCGAAAAACTACATTCGGATTTTTTTAAGAGCGGGAACAGAGGTCAAGACAACCCCACGTTCGCAGCTTAGGGATCGCCCTCGAAAAACACTAGATCTGTATCATAGTTTATCTCTGTCATTATCCGAGCCAAAGATTATTGGTCCTTTTCGAAGGATACGAGATGCCAACGTTGTTCTTTATCCGTACAAATAATAGTTACTGTGTATTTTGTGAAATAAAGTTACACCGTGGAAAAGTTGCCTGTTTTGACATTTCTATAACCGCGCGTTAAGGAATTTCTAAATGATTTCCCTCCCCAACTGAACACTGGTCGTGGGTACGCGCCTGTTCAACGGGCTGGTCTCATTCAGGTTTCCGGATTTTATTCACGTTAGTAACACCAAAATAGGGGCTAGTTTCCCGTAAAAGGCCTCCCGAGAAACATTCTCCTCAGCCGTATACGAATAAAACCAAACTAAACCACCACTGAAGTCTCCTACCAGTGGATAAACCTCCGAACACTGGTAGTTGATCGCGGGTTCGCGCCTCGCGTGGAATTTTCTACACGTGTTTACACTTAAATATGCTACGTAAACCTCCGATTGTTATTGGAAGACCAGGCCCTCGATGGAGAAATCGAGCCGAAAGGTGGGTAGTTTCATTCAGCACTCGTATTAGTTTCAATAAATTATCAAGTAGTATTTTTAGTTCTTCTTGGTATAGTTCAGTGATCGGTGCCGGATGCCACCAGAAGCGAAGCGTCAAGAAAAAGAAATGATACGCACCAATAATTGATTAAAAAAAAAACTAGAACGGTAACAAAAATCAATTCGGATCCTATTTTACCAGAGCTTTCATTATGCGTATTCAATGCAGTGTTTTCGCGCAATCTTAAAGTAGCAGCGTACAGTACTGTACCTCTCCTGAGGATCGGAAAACCCTGGAATTTTTGGGGGAGGGTCCATCTCGGATATGTGGAATGGATAGTGTAGGAAGTTGTACTGTACCTCAATCCAGATCAGTTAAAGGGTTTGCCCCTTTTCTTCTTCTTAAGATGCCATTGTTGGCATTCACACATACTGTACCCATACAGGTTTCATTTAGATATTTAATCTCCTACCTCTTCAGGGATGCATAAGAGCCCGTTTTTATGTTATAGGATTTCGTTGATTTGTGGAGCACAAAAAATATCGATATAAAACCATAAGTATATATCAGGTGACGTTTTATGGGCGCACATCATCTACATGATGAATCACCGAAGTAGAAAAATGGCATCCAGAACGGCTTTGAATATGCCAATATTTTTGATCGATGGATTTATATTTATTTCGCCTTCAGTATGCAAAAATATTTAATGTCAATTATGCTAATTTTACTGTTTTTTTTTTGGGACACAGAATACGAAACTAAGTCAGTTCTGTTGTGTTTTTAGTACAAGTTCATTGGAAAGTCAAAGTAGTGTAAAAAAAACTTGCTCTAATTCCATTCGGATTTAAATGATTTCAGGACGAACCTGTGAACAACGGCCACCGACAAGAAGGTTGTTTGGAGGTGGCAGCCATTGGGAGTTCGGCTGCAATAATTAACGGAATGATATCATCGTATCTTAATTTAATAATAATTATCTTACTACTGTATTGTAAAAAATGACAATGGACAATCAAAGTTCGGATTACATAAAATAGCGAATAAAAACAATTAGCATTAAAAGTATAAAAATTAATTATAATGCTACAATAGAAAAATATTTACGGGGATTTCTCGTATTTTCATATTGTGAAAGGTTTCTTTCTTCTTTAACTTTTTGAAATTTAGCAAAATATTTAGCTACAACGAATTTTTTTAAGACCCCACGTGGGTTCACACCCCACATCTTGTTGGTGGGATACGACAGTGTTCAGTGATTTTATCCACTTGGCCCTTGGTGGGCTTCATAAGTACCCTTAAGAGTAATATGAGGATCAAAAATATAATTTCAGAACACCACCATTCGAGAAATCGGGGTTCAACTACTGAGCGTAGCAGTTTAATGGTCAAAAATTCGTTTTATCTCTCATATAATCAACTAACAAAATGGAACCATTTTTTTAATACTCGTTTCGCCCTGTGGGCACTAAGAGGACCTCTTATAGCAGGCCCATTATGGGTTTGGCCAGGCCCACAATGGTGCTACCGGATGGTGAGGGACGGGGCCCGACATATCCGAACGGACTACATCCCCGAAAAAATCCTGGGGATTCCTTGACCCGACCGGATTCGATCCCGGGTCCTCCGGAGCGATAGGCTGCCATCTTGACCGCTCGGCCATCTGGCCAAAATGGAACCATTAAAGGCATGGAACCCGTGGTAGTTTTACGCAATGCCCACCCACCTAAATCTGTCTTCTGAAGATTTTTCCTAAGTAAAGCTTGGTATCTCACAGTAAAAGATTTTTAAGGCATATTATTTCCTTTCTGCACCAGTTATTCACAGCAGGATGGAAGAAAACAATGTAAATTTAAAGCAAACAGAAAGAAATATTTAATTAATAAATAAATTAAATACAATAATTTAAAAAAAATATAACATAAAAAAATAGATAAATAACGATTTAAAAACATCGACTCGGAATGAAATCGCGCGTGATAATGCTTGACGATCGATGCACTCGAGATCACCCCGTTATTTGACGGGGAAAGTCGTGCGGATTTGCACTAATTTCATGCTTTGTTCGTTTAAACGTCACATCAAGCGGCATCTGGAAAACCCGGGTTCAATTCTGGACGGGTCGAAAAACCTCAAGAATTTTTCGGGAGGTGGTCCGTTCCGATATGGTCTCGTTCCTGATAACCGGCAGCTCTACTGTAGTCCTGACCGAACCTATAATGGAACTTGCTAAAAAAAAATAAGCCATCTTAGTGCCCACAGAGCGGAAACAGTTGAAAAAACAAACATACCTTGAATGCATTACGTGCTGCAGGATTGCCAGATATTCGAATTAGTTAAGGCGTAAGCTTATGTATCGGGGAACCCGAAATCGAATCCGGATCCCCAGAGCCCGAATTTAAACATGAAATTATCATAGACATTCCACTGTAGCACCACTGGAAAGGGTAGCATTTTAAATGGTAATCCAAGATAACATTATAGTGAATTAAAAGAGTTGTTGAAACTAAACGTATAGTTAACTATATAGTTTAATCACATCCATCTCTAACTATATTATAGTACATATTTTACTTTTTCCACGCTGTGGACACTAAGAGTGCCTTTTTTTTTTCAAGCAAAAGCTCAGACCCATAATGGGGCAATCGATGGTGACACTGATAAAAGATGGAGTCTGATATTCAAGACGGATCACCCCCAAAAATTAATTTTTCAACCTGCACGGATTCGGGTTCTCCAGAGCTAGAGCCATCTTAGTTTCCTCGACCGATACAATAATTTAATAGCATCAGCCTGCACCCGTGAGGAAGTGAAGATTGAGTCTTAAGAATCTTCGTGGGTCTAATTCATGAATATAATCTCTAAACCTGGGTCTAGTTCATGGGTTCGTTTTAAGGGTTCATTTTAACTCTTTCCGCCCTGTGGGCACTCTTAAAGCAAGCCTCTTATGGGTTCGGCCAGGCCGACAACGGGTTCAGGCCAGGCCGAGTGGTGAGGACGGCGGGATCCGACATATCCGAAGTGGACCACCCCGAAAAATTTCTAGGAATTTTTTGACCGTACAGATTCGATCCCGGGTCCCCTAGAGCGGTAGGATGCCACCTCGACTTCTCGGCCATCCGGCCATCGTAGTTCATGGGCTGAAACTAGACCAAAAATGGCGCCGGTATATCACGTGATTGCATTCCATCCAATGGCATATCTTAGCGGTGACGTTATATGATAATTTTCTCCGCTCGGTGGCACTCGTTTGTTAAGAAATCAAGCGTCATTAATTTTTTTAAGAATTTTTTTTTGTCGTGTAAATTTTTAATTTAATTTAAATAAAAATATAAATGACATCATTTAAATTTTAAAATACTTAAATAAAGAAATAATTGTAGTTATTTTAATTTGGAAATATCAGAATAATAACAACTTAGATTAATTTTTCCTAATTTAAGCAATAAATATAAAAATTAACCTTTTACGTCCACCAAATATATAACTTCAAAAACGAATTTCATTTTGAAATACTTAAACGTAAAGGAGTTTCTTCCTTGCTTAATTCTTCTGGCAACACTTATTTAATAAGACATTTCAATTAGTGTTGCCAGATCCTTCCATCAATTTTTGATATTCTAAAAATATTATCAATATTCGAACCAAGTGAAAATTAATAAATAATTATAAATAAAAATATATTTTTTTTTAAATCAATATAAATATAATCTGTTCTTAGTTTAAAATTTACTTTAAAAAATTTAGAAACGTTTCGGCGCGCGTATTCCATATTGTATACATTCAAATTTTAAATTAGTGTTTGGCTTTTAATACATATAACATAAACAAAACTTTGAAACAATAAAAAAAAAAGTTTATTTCCACTAACAAGCGATTACAATATGATAATAATTGAATTGTATGACTAGAAAATTAAAAGTTCGGCCGTACTCTTCACATTACGCCGATTCTAAAAACAGAAGTTACATACAATTTATAAAATATATAAATAATATTTTACAATAATTGTTTATATATAAATCGATTTAAAACTCAAATATAACAATTATAATAAAAATGAATATAAAGAGATAAAAACTTTAATTACGATATAACGATTTATAAATTAAATAAACAATAATACGATTCCTTAAATTTAAAAACTTATTCATGGACAGTATAATCCAGATATGTAGGACCTCATATTCATGCCCATTGCGGGTTCAGTCAGGTCTACAATAGGGAAGCCGGGAAGTCACCAAAGCTCGAAAGGCCCACTGTACCAGGATCGACCGGAAGCCGAGAAACCTATCTACGCTCTGCCCACCCGAAAATCTATCGGAGACGGTTACGGCTTTTCGACTGGATTGCACCACAGAATGTAGAATCTCGAAGGGCCGGCTGCCTCGTCCGTAGTCGAAGTCCCGAAGACCGTCGACGGTGGTGAAAAACCGGGTGGTCTTAGCCCACACTCAATTTTGGGTCAACCGGAGCAACAAGCCGCAGTCATCTTGCCAACAAAGGCCCTCTTAAGATTGGAAAGAGTTAAAAATGAGGGCAAAACACAACAAAATTTAGAAAATACTTGAAGCATTTTTCTCATCAAATCTTGATTTCATTACTTTTCTTAATAATACTTGAGGATACAAAACTAAGAAAAGATAATTCAAGCCATAAAATCCAATAAATTTTAACAAAATTGATGAAGATTTCTAGATTTTTAAACCTAATCTCTTAGCACCATTTACTAAATATTAATTAATAGAAAGGAGAAAAATGGAAGGTTATAGTAAAATAAAAGCAAAAGAATCCAATTAATAAGATTTTCTAAAGTTTCTCTAATTTAAAAAAATATCCAAAGGCACAAAATTCCGAGCATTTGATTTAAGCAACCCTGACAGATTACTAGAAAAATCTATTATTATTTTGATTTGTTCTCATAATTCTAGAACTAGTTTGATATAACTTTATCAATCCAGAAACTAATAATTTCAAAATATAACTTACCAGTCATTATCTTAATAAAATCTTTATATTTTTGGTTATAAAAAATACATTATCTGTAATTTGTATTATAAATTTTCTAATTTGTTCAAGAAAAATTTGATAAGTTTAATGTCTGGTTTGATATGGATCCTGCTACATTAATTTGTATTCAAATATGATATTAAAATTTTATTTACTTTATAAAAACCACCAATCAAAAATTCTGATGTACAGGATAGTCTGAGAAGTCCTGTTGTCTCCATAAGTTTATTTTAAGTTGTATATTTATCATTCATTTCAGTTGGCTGTGTAGTGCGGAAGCATGGCTCCTTGCAAAAATATATGGGCTCGTGAAAACTGATTAAACTGACTCTGAAAAGAGCTCCATAAAACCCATTTGTTCAGATATAAAAATGACATGTTTTGTAGTGTTCTGGTCAATACTCCAAGTTTCACACGCATACATTCATGGGCAAGTAACTCCTCGGGAATTTTTCATGGACAGTGGAGGCCCCGATTGCCACTATGTGCTGCCACTACATGATGGCAATCGGGGCCTCCACTGGAGCATAATCTAGATTACTGGGTCCCCATTTCTCAATTCACTCAATCACCCAACATCACGTCTTTGAACTATTTTCTTTGTAAGACATTAAGGATCGTGTGTATGGTGCAAGGTGCCAAACATGAGATAGCGCACATACGAGAATTACAGATGCCATTAACAGCATGACTTTCAACATGTTGCTTCAGCGTATGTGGTTACTACATTAAATCAGTACGTGATGTACTGATTTAATGTAGTAACCAACATTGTCAGATGCACTGTCTGCAGTACTATGTGCTTTTTCCCGAAATTAATGTATAAAACTAGGGACATTTGAAGGGAACATCCTGTATATCTATTTAGTGCATTATCTTATCTTTATTCTAATGTAATACATTATATGCTTATTATGTTTTATTCAGGTAATGACAAGACTTTCATACTAAGCAACTTTCTTAGCATTAAAAAGGCAGAAATTCTAAAGTGAGAACTCAAATCAAACCATTATAAAACTAATTAAAACATTACTAATCAAACCATTATAATTTATTTTCTTATTTACTAACATAAATGAGGAATATAAAAAGACATAACTAGTAATAACATCTGGAATTTGTCAAGTGGTAATATTTTAAGAAACAGATAAATGTGTTTGCAATTTAACTTATAATGTAATACTTTACCTCTGTAATATGTTGACTGCAGTAGATACTTACTAGCATCGCCTTCTTTGGGAAGCACCCGAAGAAGACGACGTCTCCTCGGTTGATGATCAAAACTCCGGTTTCAAGGAAGCAAAATTTTGGGTACGAGGTTGCAAGTTTTTGAGTTTTAATTAACAGTGTATTTGGTATTGATATCAAATAATACCTATTAACATCTATTACTCATTCTATTACCATTTAATTATTATCACTTGTCATTACGCTATACTTTCTTTTAATTAAGGAGGGAATTTTGTTCAAAGTAACATTTTGATTTGCTCAAAAATTTTTTTCAAATACTAAATGCATTAAAAATGTTTAAATAATTGTATAAATCAATTTTTCTTTCTCATTAAGAAGATATAAAAAATATATACATTATTTATTTAATAGGAAATTGTTTATGTAGTTCATACTGTTTATACAGTGCAAATGAAAAGTCTTTCATTCATGCCCATTGCGGGTTCAGTCAGGTCTACAATAGGGAAGCCTGGAAGTCACCAAAGCTCGAAAGGCCCACTGTACCAGGATCGACCGGAAGCCGAGAAACCTATCTACGCTCTGCCCACCCGAAAATCTATCGGAGACGGTTACGGCTTTTCGACTGGATTGCACCACAGAATGTAGAATCCCGAAGGGCCGGCTGCCTCGTCCGTAGTCGAAGTCCCGAAGACCGTCGACGGTGGTGAAAAACCGGGTGGTCTTAGCCCACACTCAATTTTGGGTCAACCGGAGCAACAAGCNATACTGTTTATACAGTGCAAATGAAAAGTCTTTCTGCAATGATTGTACACTTGTAGTCATGTGCTTCTACTCACATACATCATAATGCATGTATAGTATTTCTCAAGGGGAAAGAATGTGTGTACAAAAATTGACCAAAACCTGTTGTGTACCTCCGACAGAGTACTGCCAACTGTGGGAATTTCGATTGCTTTTGTCTTATTCAAATTGCTGCTATCTTCTTGTAATGAAGGCTGTTGTGTCTTTGTTCTTGTATGACTCGGACAGAAATAAACCCGTATTTAAAACTGCAAACGTGGCTATATCATTTTATCATGGACTAAATACACAACAAAAACAATATAAAAACTGAAGACTGTCATAACTGCCTGAAATCAGTCCATCGTGCAAGATACCCTCAATCAAAAAGAGTTGTTTTGTGTCTACAGAATGATAGAATACACTTCAAACACTTGCTATAACATCAATATAAATCAAAATCAATTAAACTAATACTGTCATACTGCATTACAACCTGTTACATTCATATTATTAAGCACCGAAATTACTGCGGAGGGGGTTTCCGAACACCCCGTCACACAAACAGTTAAAAACACAAAATTTGTGCTATGGAAGAGCAAACAAATTCATATTATAACAAATAATTGCTTAAAATTGTAGTTAAGACCAGCAATAAACTAGTTAAAACTAGAAAATTTAAGCCAAAAAAATATTTACCTATCAACTAGAATTCTCAAAAAAATGATTTAAGATTAATCTAAAATATTCTAAGTTAAATAATTATAGATCTAAAATAAAAAAGGGAGAGTCTGTACATTTTGATTTCATTAATCACAAATTATAAATTTTGAACTTAAAAAAGTAAGAAATAATTATGAATCAGAGCAATTAAAAATAGTTTATAAACTAATAAAATAAATACATACAAACATATATTGAAACAATAACTGACTAAGAATTTTAGATCTTCAGCAAAATTAATATTAAAATTTCAGCTCTGAATTAGGCAGTTAGGACTTTATCACAGCTGTAAACCATGCCTGAAGGAGCAAAAAAAGTCAAAAGGAACTGATGGTCTACATGTGATCCTTCGTGAGATATATCCAGAGCCGGCCCTACCATAGGGCGAAAGGAGCAGCCACTCCAGGCGCTAAGTCCTAGGGAGCGCCTCAGTGGTAAAGAAAATTAAAGGGTATAAATTTGGGGCAACCAAGGGCAGTGGCGTAGTGAGGGGGTGCAAGGGGGTGTATCAAGCACTGGGCGCCACTCGCAGAGGGGCGCCCAAATGGTCTCCAAGACAAACTATGTGTGTTTCTGGAGGGGGCGCCAATAAAGTGTCGTGCCCCGAGCGCCAGTTATGTTCGCTACGCTACTGACCAAGGGGGTGCCATAATAGGATCTCGCTCCATCCTAAAACTTGACTCTAACCTTGATCTGAAAGTAGTAGATACCATAACTGTCTCTAATAAAGTGAAAAACAGTTGACTTTTTGAGGGTCTTCAAAATTCCAGATAGGCTGATTTCTGTTGGTTATATCTTGCAAATGTATAAAACATATAGACCATTGGTTTTTTTGGCTATTTTACTCCTATGGCATGGTCTACAGCTCTAATAATGTCCGAACTGCCTCGTTCAGAGCTGCAATTTTATCAAATTAATTCTAATAATTAAAACTCTGAAGATTTTTAATCAGTTATTTATCAATTGATTTGGCATTAGTCAACATATAAAATTTATATATTAAACAATCACAATATAATTAAATATATATATGAAATTCTCTTCTTAAGCTAAATAAGTTATAAACTTTTTAAAATATAATTAAAAATAATAATATTTTAACATAAAAATGTTCTTTAAATATAAACAAATAGATAAAAATATATTAATGTAATTCTTATTTACTATCTTAATCTACAGTATCTTGAATTTCTGGCAACTTCACTCTTTCATACGTAATACTTTGATATTACTAAATGACTTTTTGCATGTTAAATTCAGACATTTTTAACACATTACACGTGAAAGTTACGGGACCGCCTGTATAACAAATGTTCTAAATAATTTTATTTTAATTATAATTAAATATATAGGATCATCCAAAAAGAATGCTACATATTAAATTATTGTAAATTATTATCCAAGAGCATTGCAATGTATAATAAAACATTGGAAAACTGTCCAAGTTTCATATTTGCTCAATGCGCGCACTTCATGTCATAAGCTCCTATAGATTACTCGTGTTGCACAATGAGAAGTGATTCTGACTTTGAAAACTGCAGAACATAAAATGCTTTCTCTTTTGTGGAGTGACCATTTTTGTTTATAGCACTTCCTAGAGATAATAGACAGACAGTGAGACGTTTGAATACAGCTGGGAGATGAAATTTGGATGGTTACTATATCTATTGGTACTTCTCCAATAGTAATTAACGTAATTACATTAATTTAAACTGATAGAATTCATTTTGAAAGACCCTTTATATATTTTAAAATACTATGACCCCTTTACTTCTAACTTCTACTATCTATTACAGAAAACAACCTGCATAATTAGAAGAGATGAATAGAAGAAGAATATACATCAGCACATATTATTTCATCTTGTACAATTTTTAAAATATATTGAAATATTAACAATAAACATTAAAAGTTATTATATTATAATCAAAAATTTATAAATAAAGAATTGAAAATCAATTGTACTTTTATATTTAAAATATTTTACAATCAAACGTATACTATTTTAGATGCCGACTCAAAACGAGCTCTGCATCTAAATAATATATAAATTCGTATGCACGTCTATTTACTCTTGCTTAATATTTTCTACGTATTTCTGCACTTCATCTTCCAAATCTTTGTTGTCAAATACTTCTAGTGATTTTACAGTGCCTAACTGATCTCCCATTAATGATTTCAAACATTCCCAACATTTTATGTTTGTTCCAATCATTTGTACAATTTCATAAGTTTGAGGAAAGAAACTTGAAAGCAATCTGCAATTGAGGAAACACTTCAATATATAATGAATTATGAAATTGAAAAAAAAAACAATTCCTACAAATTAATCATAACAACAAATACAGGATGTTCGAAAAGTTACCGTGCAGTGGAAAAGGTTTTAATAAAAGTGGTTTTATGTACGATATTGGAGTTCTCCTTCAGCAAATACCGGGACCTCACACCCGAAAATCTGGGGAGTGAGGTCTGGAGACCTAATAGGCCAGATTCCACTAGAAATTATGCAATTGGTTAAGAAGTCTTCCAAAAACTGTATGTCTGTAAACAAGCAATAATGCCATATACTACAAAGTGGAAATGTGTGAGGTACAACTTACGGGTCTTAGATGCAATACTGTACGTATAACTTTAATGTCATTATAGATTTCTTACTGTACAGTAACTTTTCGGATACCCTATATCTTAATTTTCATTTATTTATTTGATTTAATTTGACCAAAATGCTTAGAAAGTTAATGAAGTAAACTGAGCTTCCTTCTAAAAAAACATAATTATTCAAAAATTAATTTTTTTAATATTTAAAAATAGTGTCAGTGCTTTCTTGCTTATACATTTGAAAGGATATAAATGAATATGATGATGATGAACAAATAGAAACTTGTTCCATTTCAGATAGCAACTTAGTGAAGGAAAATACTAATGCTATAATCTATATTCTTGTGAATTTTTATGAGTAGGTCAGATCACAATATCATGCCTTGTATGTCAGCAACACAGCCGAATTACACTAAGGTTTGAATCATCACAATTCAAATTAAACAAATGTGAGGAAGTTCAAGTATTCTGTTGTAAGTTCATGCAGCATTAAAATACAGGATGCAAAGTCCTAATCACTCAAATAACTTTTGAATGAAGATAGCTAGAGCTACAGAAGTGAGGTATTGGTACAGTAAAGCAACAATGCACTATCAGATGATATCAACAGCAATGTCCTAAATGTAAAATTTGGAAGTTAGTGTCCCTATCTCAGAAACTATGAGAAATACAGAAAAAAAGTATGAAATAAACACAAAGTGCAAACTGAAGAACTGGCTGTACAGTACATGCATAACTATGCCACTGGGTCGGTCCCTTCAAGGAAGAGCTGCAACACTACCAGTCTCTCTCAGCCATTGAACAGCTTGATAAATGGTCTATGCAGTCTGATATGGGGCAGCAGGATATCATAAGGTATGTTGCCATGCAACTTCTCTAGCATTTTGTCTACATTCACCATATAGCAGCATCATCTTGCAATGCTCATCACTTATACAGCTTATGATTTTTTTTTTCTACAAATACCTCTCAAAAGACTATCTGATGATCACTGTCTGAATATTACCACATCTAAGATTTTATCTGCAAGAGCAGTGTCATGTCTCAGCCCTCTTTTGTATATTAGTCTACTGCATGTATGCAAATGATAGATAGCACTGTGCATAGAATTTCCAGTCTTCTATTTGCATTACTCTTTTCTATGAAATGATATTATAGGCCTATTTACTACTAATTTGATGATGCTCTGCAATTTTCTCATTTACTTTTTGTTCTTTGTATCTCTTATAGTTTGTGAAACAGAAATGTTAACTTCAAATTTTACCATTACGGGTACTGCCGTCAATCTCATCTGATAATGCAAGGTTATTTTATTGTAACAACAACTCATTTCCAAAGCTCTAGATATCTTTGTTAAAAAATTATTTGGGTGACTTAGGATATTACTATGTACCCTGTATAATCAAATTATGATTATATTCTATATAAAATGCACTATTAAAACTAATTTATTTAGATAATTATTGTTATATATACCAATTTTAATACAACTAAAACAAAACAAAAAGCATTTGGCATGTCCACAACAAAATATTGTGACATATTGTAATGAAATTAGATAATTTTTATACTTATAATTCTGAAAGATTATTTTAAAAATCAAAAGATATGTTGATATCATACTTTGTAGTGTCATAATTATATTTTGTCTGCAGTTTTTAATAAGGTTAACATATTAATTTAAACACAAATATATAAACTTACAGTTTAAACAGAATCTGTTTAAAAACTCTTCAGCAGGGTCGATATCACAAGAGGAACCCAACATTTTATGTGCAGCAACCCATGTTTCCTGATGCTTTGCTTAGAAGCTAATAAACCTTGCAGATAGGTAATACAACAATAAAATGGAAATAATGCCATGAACTATGCATTTATTCTTATAAGTACATTTGCAGACAATCCTCAGACAGACTGAATTGATCGGATTCCAATCAATTCAGCCTGTCTGAGTATAGTTCGAGGATAGCTGTAAGCTATTTAAAGTACAGTACTTATGTTTTTGAATAAAAAGTTATTTTTAACACTATAAAACAGTCAATACTTTACACTATAAGTAGGTTTATAACAGCAAATTTGTACACCACAAATACCACTAAAGTAGACAATGTGTCGACCCGTCCCTCCCCACAGTGTACAGTAATGTACTCTTCATAACCTCTCCATCTTTAAAGTGTACAGTACAAGTAACTAATGGGCAACCCCCATTACTATTAAAAACTGCACTTTGTCACACAATCATTATGAATTAGGAAACAATTTAAATTTTCTACATTGATTGTTGATATTCTACGAATCTATCAAATAATCTTTCTAAAATATATGTCAAGGCCACTTAACCATTAAGTTAAAAATGGAACATTTGAATAAATTTACTATATCAAAATAATATTAAAATATTTGATTATTTATAACTCTTGAAAGCTTACTTATACAATGGAAAGCAAATTCCATTTAGAAAATTAATCTGCAAATCTGGGATACAAGCTCTTTCTCTATCCATCATTTCGACCGGATTAACTCCTATTGATTTTTCCATGTCGCCTTGCAAGAAAAATTCTTGAAAAATTCGTTCCTAAAATAAAATATATTATAACATTAATCATACAATGGAATAATATATTGCTCTTTGTCCTTATTACTATTTAACACTTAGTCTAAATAAATAGACATATACCAATACAGACACATATGTAAAGTTCATATAAAGTTCATTACTAATGTGTTAATTATCATTAAAGAATTTGTGAATTAATCTCATTCACTGGTGTGATAAGCCCATCTGTATATATGTCTATTTATTTAGACTAAGTGTTAAATTAATCATACATTCAAAGAAAATATGCTAATAAATGAAATGCTTAAATGGTTTAATGGCCTTTGTCTATTTTTACGCATATATTGTCTCCAATGATGGGCAGATTGCCCATAACTGGACATTGTTCCAACATTGGAGGAAAAAATTAATAAATTCTTAGCCAGGATGCTTACATTACTTATAGATATACGAATAATAAATAATTAGTTGTAATACAAAACGACTTCTAATAACTTAACACTGCATTAAGTAATAACAATCCACGTTGGTGAAGTTTGTTATGGAGAAAACATTGTTATCAAAAAAAGTTTCGTTGATTGTAATTAGTTGTAATTATCCATAGTTCTTAGAATGATCTTTATCAAAAAACTTCTGGGATTGTGATCACAATCCCTCATCCCTGACCTTTATATTGACCCATATTTTGACCTTTATGTTTTATATTATGAAACATCAGTACTGTTTCATAGGAAAATAAAAAATAATGTTTAAATTCAACTGATAAATGATGATTTCCTATGTAAAATATTATTAGAAATTGAAAAGCTGTCTAACACGGAAATGGAAGACTTTTTTGAATACTAATTGCATAACAGAATCTGAATAAAGCAGAATTTTTTTATGATCACAACTAAACTGTAAACTACAATGTCTGGTTCAAATAATAGCTAATTTCTTGATGACTAGAGTTACAGTCAACAAAAAATCAGACAATGAAAATAAGCAAAGCAAAATAAACCAATATCCAGCACAAAAATGTAAGACGGCTAATGTTTTTTCCTGTGTCAAACTGGCATCTTCAGGCTAACTGACTACCACAGCTATTAAAGAGAATTGCTGTACTGTACATACCAGTGGCATGCCGTGACATTTGATGATAGGGAAGCTGTGTTTCTGTAGGAAGCCAACATCCAGGGGCAATCAGTCAATTGCGCGTCAATGATGGTCTAGGCTCCATTCGTACCGTTTATTCGATAAGCCAGTAAAAACCGTAGACTTCTCTAAATTCATTTTTAATATCACAATTACATTCTGAATTGCTAGCCACGATATAAGGGCTACAATTAAAAATAAAATAATACAAACTTACTTGGTGAAATAAAATGTGTGGTGGATGTACCAGTACATAGCTGGTACAAAATATTCTTCAATTGTATGAATATACTTTTAAAGAAAACTATAATTAAATATAGCTTTGTAAAGAAATGTACATAAAAATATAAAATATTCTTTACTTTTTAAATCTTAAAACAATGCACTTAGTCAAATAGCTCCCTACGAGTGGCTAATGGATGGAATCGAAGACGGTTGCAGAGCGTGCATACACACGGACTGCCAAATCTCCAGAGTGCCGATACCGGTCAATGTCAAATACCTCTTTTGTCGCATCACTAGCATATCTCAAAGGACACGACAGGGCTGTTGTAGATT